ATGACTATCTGGTTCGATTTCGAAGCTTTTCCACTGTTTATTTCAAGAGCTGTCTCTTACAGCAACGTGACCTTCAGCTAGTTTAACTATCACTGTCAGTTGATCCATTGACTCGCGGAATTAATAACCAGACTCATTTTCGAAGAAGTCCAACCAGGGCTACTTCGGAGTTTCTAATACTTATGCTTCACTTCGAACAGTCTCAGCCTTGTGCTATTGCAAGGCTTCGGACTATGAATAATATGAAACCTCGTGCCAGCCACAGTAACCCATCTGTGCCTTGGCATCTGGCACAAAGTCAGTCAATACTCTTCGGTATAACGCCCTGCGTACGCCATCGTCTTATCTTTTGACAGATATCTACAATGCGAATGCGCCGGATTTCGTGTTCACTATATATATCTCAATGTCTACTCTGAAGTTTCGGCACGTGGTGAGCATATTTGCAAAGATTATCAGGCATTTCGATGATACTTCTTCAGCAGCCATATCTATAGCTCCGCCAATAAAGGATATTTGAACTCGGCGCAACAAAGCCGGGATTCACCGGACAGAGTATGCTTCAGTGATTTCTCGTTAACAATTAAGGTCTAACTATAGCAACAGTACTTGTAGTTGGAGTTAATAAAGCATTTATTTACGTAGCTTTACATGGGTTTGATTCATCCTTTTAATCGATTGGAGTATGCAGCTCAGGTCAGTGCCATTTTCTGGTTATAATGTGAGCCAAATCGTATTTTTTAAGTAGCTCCACTCAGATTAGATCAGTTCTGCCAGGATATCCCAAACCCAAATACAGAAAGCACTGTATTATACCGTTCAGAAGCAAGCAGAGATTACATTCATAATGCTACTAACTATCGTTCCAACAGGTCTTTTCTAACCTTTTCTGGTCGTTATCAGCGGAGTCCGTCATCTCTTGGCCTCGTAGAAGTATCTAGTGGCCCGAACGTAGTACCGCTAAAATTGTGGGTCGGCGCCCATTTTTATGAAAGCTTTGATCTCGTGCACAACGTACGCATCTTCCTAAGGAGATGGTACGACTTCCGTAGAGTCGTAGTACTATATGTGACTCCGAATACCGAACAAAAATGGAATACTGCGGTTGGGGACTAGGAATGATAGCTGAACAACAGTGTTGCTCCGATTGTTTGCAGATAAGGTACTCGGGTTCAAAGGCACAGTATCCGGCGGTAAATATGTTCATAGACTGATGAATCCTTTTAGGAACTCATATTTCTCACGACCCAGCTACGTGAACAGGGACGATGTTTCGATAACCCTGCTCAGGAAGGCTCAGGACTGGAATTCGATCACTTCCGTGATCTATACTTACTAATACTTAGCTTTGACGAATTGATATGAGTAAGTCCAATTTTACATCTACTAGTCACGTGGCTGTCATATTCCACTGCGCAACCTCTATGTTTGGACGTTAGTGCTTACTAATGTATTCGTATCAATTGCAACACTCAGCAACTTGCAAATTTTCAAACAGGCTAGGCAGAGACTTCAAACGACAATCATGATTTCGAAGACTATAATGGTATCACCTAGGTGATCTCTTCCCGTTATGCTTCCAACGGGCTACTGAGTAACTGGTCAATCAATGAAAGTTTTCCTTGCATCCGAACTGACCTTATCTAACGAACCATTGTTCAACTCTGAACCGGCCTCGCTCTTCCCCCTACCTGTTATGATTCTGACTTGCTGACTTGCTGTATTTGAAATTTTATTCGTTCTTATGGCAACACTTGATGCTCCAAATATTTGCTGCATACCC